AGGAAGGAACTGGCTGTGAATAGGAAGAGAGTCATGGCAGTAACCATCTGAAAACTAGCCACTGTCATGGAGCTTCCCCTTTGAACACTTTCAACTCCTCCACACTTTTAACGGTGGTACATGAACATTCAGCCTACCAACTTTAACACTTCCAAAATACAGAATCAGATGACCCTAACCTTAAGGCGCAACACTCCAACTTTTTCCAAGTCTCAGTGTTCTGCAGAATTGAAAGCCACATTCCTTACATACTGATTGGTGTGTATTACCCTTTACATCCAAAACTAAGGTACAGCAAAAGCTTGCAGATTAGAGACTAAAGAAAATGAAAGTATGAAAATGCATCTCAAAATCTAGAGCAAATTGCCTCAGTGCTTTATTGCCTTTAAAGCTAATAAAGTGTACATAATTTTCACAGCCTCAGAAAAGTTGAGTCCTACAATTTACGTCAACCTTTCTGCCCTCATTTATGACCAGTTCTTCATAGGCAATCACAGGCTTTGGTGTGCTGGCAATTTTTAAAATATATTTGCTTCTTTGTCTTCAAAGAGGCACTTTTGGAACTTTTAAAACAATGGCTACAAAGATACATCAGGATGCTAATTTCTGCAACGCTTGATGAGATCATATTGTATGGTTGGTTTGCTTTTAAAAACCTGGCCTATGGTACTCAAAGCAGCTGCTGATTTATAGTCACCAGCCTATTCTTAACTTTCTTCAAGTACCTCCAGAGGACACTCGAGGAAGAGCTCAAGGTTGAGTTTTCAGAGCTTTCGAGGGGGCAGGGGATAGCACTGCCTGCTTTCACAGAGCGCATCACTTTGTTAATAATTAGGTTTTAGCATGTTCTTCTGTATGTTTCTCAGAAACATAAAGTGCAAACAAACACGTTAGTCTGGGAAACTACAGCTTCCCCGAACAGCTGCGGGAAAGCGAGCGGAGAGGAAAGGCAAAGGCCTGGTTTAGGGTGGAGCAATCTGAAGGTTCGCTGGGGAGCGCGACAGTGGCAGCGCCTCCAATTCCCAGCACCTGGGCAAGGCTGGGCGCCGCTCCTCCCGCACAGCCGTCCCTCGGCTGCCATCTCCTGGGTAGGCGCCTTATAACACGTCCCTCCGGCCCCGTGTGTTTCAGGACAATCCACCGGTTAAGGTTTTCACGGCGTGCACCAGGATGAGTTTCTCTTGAGAACAGAGCGGAATGAGATCAGGAACGGAAACTCTTAAAATTAAGAAATGCTGGTGCACGGACATTCTGCCAGACAAAGGGATCAGTGTATTCCAAAGCTGCCAGCCAAGACCAGCATCTTTTTCAGAACAGATTCTAGCCCTTCCACAACGCTCCCCCCATCTGGCACATCTCTACAGGAATAGCAGGATGACCCTCTGGTTTGCAGCGGCTGTTTGCGGGAACACCTGTCTACACCTGGAGCCACCGCCTCTGCAGCATGCTGTGACACAGCTGGAAGAGCCACGGAGGGGTGGGATTACCCTCCCCTGTAGCCAAGGCAGAGAAACAGCTGGACTCGTCCCAGAACGCGAAGACTGCACTGTACATGGATCTGCAGCTGCCAACCATCCCACGCATGGACCACACCAGAATGCAAGGTAGGCCTCATTCAGCAGCCGAGTCCTGCATGTGTGGAAACCAGGATATGTGCAGCCACATCCCCCCCAACACGCAGTCAGACACAGCTGGGATTCATCCACCGGCCTGGAAATTTGGAAGCACTTCTGGGTCACTCCAGACACAGCCTTAGGCAGCTATCTCAGAGTAATTTGCCTTCTTACGATACCATCTCCCTAGCAGAGAGAGCAGCCCTACAGAGGGAGCCGGAATACCAAGCTCTGAGCGTGGACTTAAATTTCAGTGAGATACATTTTACCTCTAATTATGCACATCATCTCTCCCAGGGGCATTTCCATTTTGCTTTTAGATGCCAGCTGAAGAACCCAAAGTTACACAAGACTGATACATCATTGTTCCAGAACAAAGCAGTACTTGCCTCATGCACAGCTAGGGACACAAAATGACATTTCATTGTTTTGACCATGGCAGCGTACACACATTGTAACACTCAGCTGTGACTCAGTACAACATCTCTTCCATTCATTGTTCCTGGGCACCGTGGGGAAGTACACAATTATTCTTTCTCTTCTTTTCTGCACCCTCCTTCCCAGCTGCATTGCTGACGGGGAAGGTGCACTTAAGGTCACCCTGGAGAAATCATCCCGGAGACTGCAGCACTAGAGAGGCACTCGTGCAACACAGGAACTGGCCCCGATCACAGGACCCCAAGTACAACTCAGCCGTTCTAAATAGCACTGGTTTTCTGTATCAGAGGACAGCACCAGTATGCAAGCACCGCACAGGTTTTATTTCATTCATAAACCATCCACTACAAGGCAAGCCAGCCATTTATATTTGTGAAATTTATATACTAATTGGTTGCGTGGTAACAGCAAACACAAACGTGGAAAAATGAGCACCAAAACTGGGAAAGTTTGTGTATTTCTTTCTTCTCTAAAAAGAACTATTTGACTGAGGAAATTATCTGTACCCAAGATTCTGTAAAATGCCCAGTAAAAATGATATTCAAATAGCAGAGGGCTTCTCTCCAACCTCCAACACGAAGGAAAATTCAACCTTGAACTTGCTCAGCTCTGCCTAGATAATAGGGCCCGCATGGTTTGGCAGCTGTGTCTGTGTACACACGCAAGGAGCAGCTGCTGTCCTGCAGAGGAAGGACTCGCTCACTTCCCTTGGGGGAAGCGCATCAGTAAGTTAACAAGCACAGTTCAACCATCCTCCTGCCTCAAGTTGGAGGTTTCATTGGGGTTTACTTAATCCAGATAGTCACCATCACCAAGTATTAACTCTGGTAGGAGATCACAGAAGGAAAAAAAGATCATCACCTACTTTTCTCATTCTATTTTGTGCAGCTAGCAGCTGTTTGTAGAGTCTTAGTGCAGACATAGTGATATGGATTATACAGCTGAGGTTTAAAGTGTCATGTGGTGTCATGATACATAAACTTGAGCAAATCACTTTACGTCATTTTCCTCCTTTTACATCTATCTTGTCTACATTGATGAGGACTAGATAAAACAACCTCCCGGCATTAGTAAAAATGCCATACACAGTGGAACTCAAGTCTTTGCATCTAAACACTGTTGCGGCACAGTACAACAATATAAATAAAATGATCTTACTCCAATGAGCGGACTGTTGTTTCCAGTGGAAGCAGAGGCATACTATGCCGGTCTTAACTAGGTTTCAAGACAGTAACAAGAGAAAAATCGTATTAAAATTATAAATGTGAATATAAATGCATATATAAACTGCAAAAAGTTCAACAGACTCACTTTCCTTTGAGAAACTAACCCATCTCAATGACTCTGCATCCTAACGTGTCTGAAATCAAACTACTAAAGCTAATTAAACTTAGAGTTGCCTATCTGTAATAAGAGCTGACTTTTTTTTCTTCGGCAGCACCATATAATTACACAGCCAAAAAGCTCCTTCAGAACTCACGTCCGGATGTCATTAGGTAGTTACAGGTTGGCGTGTACTGCCAATCTAAGTTTGTTGCTGGTGGACTATTAGATCTAACTTTGAATCCAGGTCTGACCATATTTTTTTAATGCAATGGACTTGTAACATCAGCTGCACAGTAGAAATGTTTCTGTGAGACAGAGCTACTGGAACGTAACCACTGCTAAAAAGTTAATAACTCTGGGGTATAGTTTATATTTTCTTCTCTGTCTGTACCAAAATGTTTAATCTACTTCAAGTAGCTTTCATGTTACAAGAATGTCAAAATAGCATAAAGCTTGCAAACTGATTCTACAGTCATATAAATTTAAACTACTCAGGGCTTTTTTTTTTTTTTTTAAGATTAAAAAGAATCTGATTGTCCTGTTGTGACCTCCCATGCAGACAGTGAACATAGGCTACCAACGTAAAGGCATTAAAGCAGTGTATGTCAGAGGTCTAAACACCTTGCAGCCAAGAATTTTATGGAAGATTGTTTTACAAACTAACTCCATGTTAAAATGCACAGTGATGATTTCAATGGAGAGTCAAGAACACTTAAACCCCCTAATTATTACTCACTTATTTCATTCAGTCCTAATTAAAATATTCAGATTGAAATCTCTATAGCAAGTACGTAAAAACATACAGATTCTCTGTAAAAATCAACTCAAAGCTAAACCAGCCTGCTTATTAGGAACAGGAACACTTTATTTTTAAGAGTACAGTTACTTTTCTGAATTTGCCCAAAAGCATTCCTTGTTTTCTTTCCAAGAATATTCGTCCTCATAAATCTCCTGCAAATATAAACAAAGAAGGGGAAATATTGTGGGAGTCTGCTACGTACAGCCACAAGCCAGGCCAAACAACTCAACAGCCATCCTGCTATTATTTACTGATCACAACAGGACTTAGCTGGCAAACAGAAAAGAGGGCAGCACCCTTAGAGCATAGTGACTTACACCCTTAGAACAGAGCGACTTACACGTGGGCAGATGCTGAACCTCGGACTGAGCCCCGTTAAATTTACACGGGCCCATCTATACTGAAGTCAATTTAAGAAAGAGATCTAGAAGAAATTACGTAAAATGTGCAGAGTACACAGCACTTGTGTCTGAAACTGCCATCATAATTTTTAGGACAGGATTTAAGTGTATACAAAATGTCAATTTTTAAAAAAGTAAAATGACCAGAATACAGAAAACACAGTAAATATTAGACCTTCAGGACAGACTGGACTACCCAGC